ACTCATGGTGGCGGCTTATGTCTGTGAAGCAAGTCAAACAATAGCAATGGGTTTTTTTCTGTTTATGTCATTGAACAGTGCTTAAGTGCCTGGTGTTGTACTGAACAGTTAATACTTTCAAACCAAACCAATGTTTTTGCATAATTACAAGTGGCCTTAAGCTTAGTAAAAGCCTTTCAGACCAAAAGGCTGATTGTCTATACTGCAATTGTATTATGTTGCTCTGTTCTGTACCTACAACATCTATTGCATGTTTTTTGGTCCAGGGAGAGAGATCCCCCCTCAATTGCTCTTTCCGAGGTTTCTTATATTTTTACCCTGTTGAGGGGGTCCGAATTGAGGGTCTAAGGACTTTGTTCTATGTCGTATGCTTTACAGATCATAAAGCCCCTTGAGGAAAATTTGTGATTTGTGATATTGGGCTATATACATAAAATTGACTAGAGTTAACTGACCAACTCTAGTCATTATTGAGTTCCATCTAAATTGGATTCACAACACTTGTGGTCACAGATTAAACAGACAAATATACATAAATAAAAAAGTAATCAATGGTAAAAGTTGTACATACCTTACTCTTTCCCTTTGTGAAAAAAGTGTTGTATTCCACAAACCTATTGAAAACAGAAGGATTTATTCAGTGCAGCAAACAGCCAAAATTAATTGTTAAAGTATAACTTACACCTACACAGACTATATTATAAATTCACGTTACAAATATACATTTCATCTTGTGCCAAAGGAAAGCACGAAGTGAATTGAAAAGGAGTACATTTAAATGACACTATATTTCAGAAACTAATTTCTAAAAAGATAAATACATTTAAATGGCACACTGCATAACAGTAGACCACCTCACCACAAGCAGGAACTCCACTGGTCCACCACACTCTCTCATGCTGTCCTTGGGCCCCTTATATTCAGTCTGGTTTGCTTACAAAGCAAAGGATCAAGCAGGTTGATGCGACTAATATGGTGAGGATGACAGCTGAGTCCTGAAGCATTTGAAATATTTTGGTGGTACTAAATTTGGGAGAAACTTTTGAGTTCTTATTTTAAAACACACACACACACAGCAGATGGAATACTTAATGAATTAATTTCACATAAATACAATTTTAAAAATGTTTACATCCAACAGAAAGCTGTGGCATTATCACTCACATCTTAAGGTGTTTCCTGATTGATAGAAAATTCTCTAATTAAAGATTATGTTGTGAGATTTTAAATTCATATTCGGAATTTAAGATTTGATTGCTGACAGTTGGACAGCAAATACATGAGAGGTAGTTGACAGTTGACACCAGGTCTTGAATTATTTTGTACTTGCGCTTGTTTGGTTTCTTGCCTTCAAATATATCTGCATGTGTGGAGGTGAGTAGAGAGGAGAAAATTAGAGAACGATTTAGTTCTGATACAGATTAGGGGCACAGTTGTTTTGATACTTGTTTTGCCATGACGTGATGGTAAACTTAATCTTCAAAGATAATGGCATCCTTTATTGACTGAGGAAGCAACTCTTCAAATCAGAATAATATTGTTGTCACGTAAATTTGATTATTATGGGGATTTTATTGTGCTATATGTAATCATGTAAAATACCCAGATATGACTTCCAATGTTATCTTTTTTAATAACTAAATAAACAAAAAAGTAATTAATAATTGAGTGTAATTATCTAAACTATGACATCTAAAATTGCACATTTATTGTTGTCTTCTAAACAAACTTTCCATGACTTCACAGGAATTTCACTGTATCCTTAAATGTAAATTCCAAGCCTTGTGATGTCTTCTTAGAGGATATTACATTTAATTTACAGATTGAGTGTGATTGAGTGATCCGAATGAACCAGTTGCCAGCTAACTTGGGGTGCAATGAGGAACACATGCTATGTCTCCGTGAGAGAGGGGTGCTAGGGGCCCTTTATCATACTATATCATGTAATTTGAGAAGTTTTAAATGTTGCTGTTTCAAAGTGAAAGAAGTGGGCATGTCATCAAAGAGTGGGAGGATGCAAGGCTCGCCCTGTATTGGTTGACTGTATATTGATTAAACATAAACGGTGTTTCGACCAATATGGAATACTGGTTGAAACATTGTGGGAAATACTTTAAGTGTTAAAAGAAAAAAATGTTGCCCTGACGCTGCTTTGAGATTTGCATTGGATGTCACAATATGTCCTTATTGGTGTACTGATATGGAGCTATGTCAGGCGAGAGAAAAATAAATAAATGATGAAGTGAAATAGTTGAGACACATCAAGAACAGTGAAAATGCATCACGCCTCTCTGTGCTATCTCATTGAATAGAATGTTCACTAAATGGTTGCGTGATAAAATCACATTTCTGTCAACTGCTGCTTTGGGGAAATCAACACCTTTGCTAATTGTCAATATAAATAATTATTTGATGTTCAGGTAAGAGTTGGCCGGCAGTCGCAGTGAGCAAGCAGCTGTTTGATGGCTCAAAGCAAAGCCCACTCCAGGGTTTACCTCACTTGGTCAGATACGATGCTCATGCTATTTAGGATACTTTGAAAAGAAAGTAGTCAAAGCTTTTTCATTTATGCTCCCCAAGCATGATGACTATGTGACTGAATTCAGAAATAATTTACGGAAATAATTATTGCATTTTAAAAAAAAAACAGGCGTAACTGACAAAATGTATTAATTGATTAGTCAATTAATTAATTCAAATTCGTGGTGGCTCCTAGTGGTCCACAGGGGAGGGGAAAAAGAGATTGGTATCATCTGCTCATTTTGTACAACCGTCTGCCTATGTTGAGAGCAAACCCATGAATCATTAATTTTTATAATAAATGTGTTGAATTTGTTTTTGTTTTGTAACACGTTTTTCTTGTAAGCTTACACTTGGTGTGCTGCATCTATAATTACGCCAACTCCATGTAATTAGATATGTGTCAATATACTGAGAAGGAAGAGATAGGCTGCGAGGTCAGAGGTTAGGCAGCGTGGTGGGGGTGGAACTGGTGAGGCACAAGGACAAGACAGTTGTCTTAAAGTTGTCTGTAAAAGGCCAGTCTGCTGAGGAGTCACCAAAGTGAGATAGCATGAGCGTAGAAAAGCTTTGACCACTCATGGTATAATCTATTTGTGTCTCAAAAAGCGAGGATAAAAAGGACTGCAGACAGCTCCTCAAGGGTTGAGAGATGATGAGCAGATAGATGGGGCATCGTTTTGGTTCGGTCTGCCTCAGAGCCCTTCTGTGAGCATTTGACTTGAATTGTGGTGATCATTTTGTGCTGTGGGGCAAATCACATAGACCACTAGTATGCGTTAACACAGGTGGATTACATTCAAACTGCATATGCTGCCAAATTTTGAGCCATAGCTCAAGAGTGTCCTCTACCTCTTGCAGTGGATGCTGATTGGAATGCGGCTCCTCAGCGAAACAGCCCATGACGGACTGCCAGCAAGTGTTGAACATGTGCCTGACAGTGTATCCCAGTTCTACTGCAAGCATTGGCTTTTTGCACATAGCTTTACTGAATTAATCTTTTCAGATGCAGGATGTAACTCAAACACATCTCTTTGTAACTCACTGGTCCATCTGGCCCCGAACCACTATTATAGCTTTGCGACCCTGTGTGCTTGATTCATGTAATCATAATGGATATCTTGCTCTGTAAGAGCTCAGACTGATCTGCTGAAGAAATGCCCCCCTACACACTTTCTTTTATTGATAAAATGACTAAAACATTAACACAAGACATTGAACAGGATTCACTCAGAAACAAACCCACAGGCAACCACAGCTGACAGAAGAGGAGACATTTTTAATGACATATTGACGTTTAAGTTAGAAAACAATACGGACAAACTATGATATAGTAACAGAACAAAAAAAAAGTAAGTCGGGAAATAATGGAGATGGAAAGACAAACGATGAAATAGGAAAAAGAAAATACACAATTAATGTATTAAACTAGAATCACTCATTTCTCATCAAAATTGTCGCCTGAGGGGCATTCTCGCAGAAATCCCATGAGCGCTCACCGCTGCTGCGCAAAAGTGAAACCAAAACTTTATGCGTAGCTCCCTTAGGTTTCGTTCTGAAACAAAAGATACTCTGGCCGCCGAGGCATGCAGTCTACGACAACACTTGTTGGTGAGTGCTTTCTCTTTGTTGATATCAGCATTATCTAACTTTTAAACGAATTGAAACTGCACCGTTTAGTGCAGTCTAGAGTCGGTGTCTGTAGGGCTGCAGATGAAAGACTGATGACACTGCGATGCTACAAATTATTGCAGGTCACGCTTGAGGGACACTTCTTGTCGTTGTGGATTTTGTCCTACAATTCATTTACACCGAAGGCATCAAAAGCGTCCAAAACGAAAATAATGAAGTTTAAAAAAAAGATTAAACCGTGCGCATAAAAATATATCGTAAAAAAGCAGCACTAAAAAGTACTGCGTAAAACCCACGTGCCTATTATGGTGTATGTTGTCGGACATACGTACATACAACGTTGTCCTTTAATAGTAGCGCTTCATCTTCATTAAACATAATATAAAACGTAACCCCCATGAAAATAGACAATATTAGAAGGTGAGTGAGATACATGTAATACCAACTAGGGCTTTGTTTGAAACGTTTCCTTACTAATTTAAACAATAGGTAATGTAGGTGGCTCCCCAGCAGTTTACATAGGTGTTATCTCGTTTTGTTGCATATGTTTTCCCAGTCTTTGATGTGTGGGCCAGTGTGGGAATTTGAATACTTGTCCTTGTGCTCATGTTTGCTCATTTGTTTATCAGCTGATGGAGTCTGACCATGGATGAGGGGGTTGATCCCGAAGGCGAAAATGTGAACTCAGTCTTGGCTCAGGAATCCTCAGAACTGCTCCGCATCCTTAGCGGTCAGTCACCCGCAGTCATCATGACATTGTGCCAGATGATGCCCAGCAATGCCGGTTGGAACATCAACCTGGCCTTCAGTAGCCCCTCTGCAGCAGCAGTAACGGAACACATCCAAGCTGTGTTAGAGTACTTCAAGGTGGCCAACACTGCAGATTGCTGCAACTTCCTTCAGAGCATGTGTATCCTGTGTGAGGACATCCCCATGCACCTGGAGTCCAGGCTCATGTCATTGGCTGGATGTGAAAACAGTGAGTAGAAAAATGACGCTCTGAATGTTACTATTGTGTGTTTAGAGTTCACTATGTGAGAGCATCCTGAGTCACCTACAGTCCAAAACTCACTTCAGTCGTCAAATGGCCTAAGTCATTAAAGGTAATGCTTAGACACAAGGCAGGAATGATGTCAAATGAAATATAAGGTATTGTAAAAGGTTAATTTAGCAAAAATGACATGATGATTATGGCTGCATTTCTCTCTGTGGACTGAAACAAAAGTGTTTAATGGAAAACCCCTTCTATTGCAGCACTGACCGGGGTGTGGCCAGTAGAGCATTTCACCAGTGCTGCATTTACAAAGACTCTTTGTTCCACAATAAACTAAATAAGAGCCCAATCAGTGTAATAGCAACATTCAACAGCGTAAATTAAACGCTATCTTCTTTTCGGCCAAACACTCCGTTCCCAACACAGTCATTGTTGACTTTGTACTGCTGCTGTGTATTTGCCTATTGAACACACCCAATGCAGCTCCCAAAATGAAAAGTGGTTGATCAGGAACATGACACAACTTTGATACGGTGTAAGGCAAATTATCCAGTTGTCTGTTGTGAAAGGTATTTCTTCTACTGTTGTTTCATTGTCTTTATTATTGTTATTATGTCTATAGTGAAGCGCCCCGCAGCAGATAATGACAAACCAAAGAGGAAAAGTGAAAGTAAAAGGCAACAGTGGGGAGACGCGCAACAATTAAATCGTATGACTTTTGTTTCACTTTTGAAATCCCCGGTCTTTCATTTTTTTCTTTTATTCATCACTAGATGATTTAGAAACTAAAAGTGAGAGCCTAAGAATAATGGCAACACATGCAAGATTCTTGCAGCACACTTGATAGCGTTAGTCATTTGGGATATTTTATGGTAATACTGGTATTTTTTAATGTACTGTATGGTTTGTATGTTTTTTTTTCTGCACTGTAGGTGTTTGTGAACATTCCAGTCCCAGTGTCACGGATGGGAAGTCGTCATCGCCGCCTTCAGAGCAGCTCATCAAACGCCCACGGATTGGTAGAACATACATACATGCACACAATGCTTCAACGTTGTTACATTGCAGCTACAAACTAAAATGGCAAGTGGCCATTAACTAGTCAGAATCCATGGGTTTAATACAGTGTGGCAGAGTGCACATGTAAAAAAGCATTTTCCCCAACAAAGGTTTGTCCTTAAACTGTCGCTGTAAAACTGCTAACAGGTCACATCAAAAATCACACAAGGTCATTAGTTTATTTTTTGTAATATTTAAAGATTTAATATTTGCAAGACTTTCTCAGTCTTTTTTGTTTTGCATTTCAGTGTAAAGTAAACCGTGCGGGCTGACTGGGCCAGAGAAAGAGACACTAAATCACAAATGTCATGAGTTACATAGAAGAAACTAGAGGTCGACCGATAGTGGACATCTAAAGGCCGATATGATTACGATAGTTTCGAGATGGAAAAACCTGTCAATTAATCTGCCGATACACACTGTGTATTCCCACTGTCTCTCCCTCTTTAAATGGAGCTTCTGTTACTTCTGTTGCGTGTCCCGTTACATTGTTAAATGCCCATCTTACAAACCATTAATGTTTTAGGCATATTCATGAAATGAAAGTGTGCGAACGCACTTCATAAATGGATAGTTACATGGCTGGATTATTTGGAAGAGAGAATGCCAAATTGCTAAGTAAGTGTTGCATTATATATATAGTATATATAGATATATATATATATATACTTTTGTGGGGAGAAACAAACAAAAAACTGGTCAGATATGACTGCTTTCTTTTTTTATTTATACATTCCTTAATGACAGATGTTAGGACCTGGAGGCTTTTTCTATTCACTGCAGGCATTCATTTAAATCCAGTGAAATTTGTGAAGTGTAGTGGCAGCATATCATCTGATGTCAAAATCAGGAAAGAGATGAGGAGTTTTGTTTATAAACATAATTTTAGCCATGTTGTTTTTAAAAAGGTGACTTTTCAGTATAAAACGTATCACTGTTCACTTGGACCACAAAGGTTAAGTCCACATTTTCTCTTCTTAGAGTTTTGATTGAGTGAAGAATCTCTTTCTTAAAAAAGTTCTCTGATATAGTCTACATTGAAATATGTTAGTCTCAGTCTGTCAAGTGTTTATGGCTGGAGTACACAGCAGTAAAGTCTGGGCATGAAGCACTTGCTCTTCTTTGACAAAGTTATTACTGTGGTAAGTGTTGCTTGCTTCAACATCAAGACGTAACCATAAAAGATCTACTAAAGTCCAAACTTAAAAGGCACAAGATGTTTGCATTCCACATTAATGTTAGCTTAATTGTGGGAGTAAACCAGGCATCTTTACTATGCTGCTTTTATTGAGCATCATATTACCAGGCTGAACCAGTTCTCATGTTCAGTGCTCAACTAAAACCAGTTCACTCAAATGATCAACAGCCTGCATGAATTGCAAATGCCAAGCAGCTGATTTTGTTTTTTTTGTAGTTTTCTGTTTTGAAGTCATTTTATTTGCCAGGCACACGCAGACCTTTTCAAACCAAATAATCAGTTGTCTTCTTTCTAAATGTTGATTGTTGGGCGCGGTGAAATAACTTTGTTACATATGAACAGGAAGTTATCTGTTGAAACTGCAAATAGATATATATAAAAAAAAGTAATAAGGAACCACCTGGCCCTGTGGGGTGCGGCACATTAAAATAGGGCTGCTGTTTGTGTGTCTGAACTTTGCACTTCCTCAAGAAGATTGAGCCTCATTCACAGAAGAAATATCTTCTAAAAACCCACTTAAGCCAAATCATGTTTCATATTTCAGAGAATCTGGATGATAAGGGTTATGATTACGTAAGAGAGACAGGTCTGCTACACGGAGACAGACGTGAACAAAAGGCCCTTAATAAAAATGGCGACCACAAAATCTACAGTGGAGGTGCGTTAGACAGCTGAGATGGAGGAAAGGCTTGTTTATATGTGGCAAAAATACGAAGGCCTATTACAGCAAGTCCTCGCACCCTGTCCATTTTGTTTCCATCCGTTTCCCAGTGAGGTCATGTGTGGTGCATTGCTCTCTCTGGCACAATAGTTTTAATAATATCCTGTAGTGTGTGATGCCCAACTATTTTCAACTGAGAGACAGGGGTTTATAAAGTGGCTTGAACAGGTGAGGGGAGTTGTGCTGATGAGGGAGTGCTTGATTAGTGATCAGGGGCAGGTGAAGGGAGTTAGACTGGTGCTGAGGGAGTGGCTGACAGGTAGAGTGAGGAGCTACGGAAAGAAACACACAGAACACACAAGGCAAAGCCTGATCGTGACAGGTTATGTCACTTTACGAGATCAATATGATTCATCATTATCAGAACACAGGTGCAAAACAGTTCTATGGTTTAAGAAAACATTGGGAATCTGACGTAGACCTTTCTTAGAACTTCTCTCAAGAACAACAACAAAAAATTTGATAATAAAATAATGTGTTTTATAATGTATTGTACACACAGATTACTGGACGCAGTACATTGCTGCAGTGACGCATTTACTGCAGAGGAGGTGGGAGCGACTCAGTGAGCGCCTGGTGAGTGAGGTCCAGCTGGAGAATGTGTGGGTCACGCTAAGAACAGTAAACAGAGCTAGGGACAGACCCGATCAAACCCCTGGATCAGCAGACAAAGGGGGCAGAACACCAGGTAGGATTGACTTCCTCTTCCTCTTTTTGTACATCAAAAATCTGCTGAATTTATTTGAAAATCGAATCTTTTTTCAAGTGGAAGTATTTCAAAATATATGAAAAAAAAAAATGGGTGAGAAAGTAGGTGGGGACACTCAACCCAGATAGAAATACATCTCTTATAGTGCAATTTGGTCATATAGACACGACACTGTCTCATGCATGATTTAAGTCTGCTCTACATTTAATGAACACTTTTTTTTCACTAAACTCAGAGCCTGATGGGGATTATGGGTCTATGGATTCCAGAGTGACATTGGAGACCTTCCTCCAGGGATGTGCAGGGAAGGTGACAGTTCTGGTTGGCCCGGCTGGATCAGGAAAAACTCTGCTGATGTCTTGTTTAGGACAACAGTGGGCACATGGACTAGTAAGTTTACATTTTTGTCATCAGCATTCAATAGGTTTTTTTGTACATATTTTCATCATAATCTGGGATATTATGTGCCAATCTGCTGGATTGAATTGGGTCAGGGTTTATCACATTATTATTATTACGAAGAAGAAGAAGAGAGATATTTGGGTAATATAAAAAAATATTTGAGTTTCAAACTTCTCTAATCTATTGAGATCTGCGCATTTTTATTTGTGCAATCCAACTCTTGAGTCAGGTGAAACATTGGGCTAAATGTCACCTGGGAACTATTTCTGACACATAGCTTGGTGAGCAACTGAACCATGGACAAGCAGCAACCAATTCTACTGTGAACCCCGGAAGATGTTCCACATTAGTGTCGGTCCAGAGTGTAAAAAACGGTTTGTAGCTCCAGAGAGAGAGAGCTGTGTGAAGTCTGATAAATTGCCTCAAGTTATGTCACGGGCATCTAAAGGGTGTTTAAATCCTTTCCAAACCTTTTTAATCACAGTAACTTTGGAGTGGAGTTAAGTTTTGATCAAACTTAACTGAATGTATACATTTAAATGTAAGCTTGCTCCAGGCTAAAGCTGTAGCTGTATTCATTTTACATCAGTACTCAATATGAAAGATATTCTAACCTCAAGCAGAGATGAGGAGCGAGCTATAGAAGTCTGGTAAGCTCACTTCTTTTTCTAACTCCAAACTCCCAGTTCTTTTCATTTTCAAACTCGTAGTCTCCAGTGTCAGACAATTTCGCACAGCCCCCTCTGAAGCGACAAAATACTTTTTTTCACCTATGCAGTAGTACTCCACAAGACCTGTAAACAGACTGATGTGTAACATTGGTGGAGTCCCCCTTTAACTGTTCCTCCTCTGCTTGGTTCATTCTCTCATTTTGTCTTTAGTTCATTATCTTACTGTTTCTATCCCCTTCACTCTTAAAGGGCCCTATCCCTTCATCTTACCTGTTTGTCCTGCTGGAGTTTCGTCAGCTCAATGTACTGTCCCACCCTCTCTCCCTGTCTGAGCTGCTATTCCGATACTATGTCCCCATGCAAGAGGGTGACCACAAAAAGGTATGCAGGTAGCAATGCTAGAGCAGTGCATTCATTTGTCAGGACTTTGCTGATGTTAAATTTGAAAGTAACAGCATAGTACATTTTGTATAAAAGCCACAGCAGTTCTTTACTAATATCAATGTTCAGACTGCTCTCAGGTTCATTGGCAGGTCATAAAGGGCTGTATTCATAAACCTGAGTAGTGCCAAGAACCGGTCCTGATAGTAAAATATACATTTCTAAAAATGTCCACTTGAATTTAAAATGAAACTAGAAGGGCACAGACCTCAGCCAGGGATGTTTCTATAAGTGTAAAATAAGGCGTAAATCCGCCCCATGATTCTGATCTGCTCCAAAGTTCAGAGGGTTCTTCCTCGGCCTATGCTATACCCATCCACCAAATCTTTAATGAAAATCAGGCCTGTAGTTTTTTTCTGTAATCCTGCTGGCAAACAAACATACAAATAGTCAAATGTCAAAAGGTGAACTAATACTTTTCCACTGTTGTTTGGACATTCCTCATATATTTCTGTGTTCTGAGCAGGAAGCCATTGTGGATTACCTCCTTTCCAATCCAGACCAAAGCTGTTGGGTGCTGGATGGCTATGACGAGTTTCACAGCAAACTCACCAAACAAGATGGGAAGATAGAGCTATTGGACCCAGAAAAGCCTTTGCCTGTAGCAGACCTCATATCAGGACTGTTAAATCGTCATTTTCTCCCAGGATGCACTGTGATGGTCACCTGTCGTGTACGCGATGTCCTCGATTTGGAAGGCATATCAGATAAAGTCGGGCAGCTGCTGGGTTGGGACTGCCATGAGATCAAGGAGTATGTGGACAACTTCTTTGGTAAAAAATGTAAAAACATATATTTGCTGTTCTGCATAGAGATACATCTACATTCATATATTTATATGCTTAATTTATAGAGATAGACCAATGTAGATTTAATATATACTGCAGTTTGTTTGAGCGCAGGTTGGGTGCATAGTTTGAGGTCCATCCATCCATTATCTATTCCCAAACTGGTACACATACCACTTGTGGTACGCAAGCTCCTGTTTGGTGGTATGCAAGAGTCTTGCTAAAAGACCTAGCAATTGCATTGAAACTGTCCTTCAATTAAAACCAAAAAATATATTTAAATAAATATAATTGTAATACAGAAACAGTTATTCATTACATATTTACATCAAATTACAATGATATAGAAATGATTTGTTATTCATTTCAATATTTTAGAAAATAAATTTGGTTGCATGTGACGTCCGACATAATCATGAACTAGTAGCGCTAGCTGTTGCAATGATTTGAATCCTTCAGTCATTGATTAAAGCATCAAAATGAAAAGATGTTACCAGGCTAGCTACATCAATCTGGGATTTACCGTCACAGGGCCAGAGGAACAGTAGAGGTGCAAATAGGCAACGTTTTTTGCATTTAAATTTTTATTCGGCCAAACACACCAGCACCATACACAGATACAAGGCGAAGTGGCTCTTTCATTGTTTCATTGTTGATATCAGCGGTGGGAAGTGGTAATTAGGAAGTTTGGTTTGATACATATGAGGTACATGGTCCTAAAAGTTTGGGAGCCTCTTTGGGCGAGAGGCGGGGGACACCCTGGACCGGTCAGTAGTCAATCTGATAAAGGGCTGACATATTTGTTCATACTTTCTCCCATTTTCTCATATGAACTCCGGACATTGTATTATTCTGGTTTCCTGCCAGTGAGAACGTCATCAACATGCCCACTTGCTCGCTGTGAATTCCCTGGACACGGCAGCTTTATTCACACATGGCCTCAGTTGGACATTACACAGACTTTGTTCTAGGAAGCTGCCAGGGTAAAGTCTGACTAATGTCCGGTCCGAATGATTCGGACATTTGCATTGTCACATACAGCTTCTCTGGGTAATAACTACATAAGTTCAGGGTTGCAGTGCATGTGTGAAAGGGACTAAAGAGACAGGCAACCACTCACACTTACATTCACACATTCGGCCTATTAAACTAACCTGCATTTTATCTGGACTGTGGGAGGAAGCCACAGGTCCCGCAGGAAACCTAGAATACCTAAACCAAAACTTGATTTATCAATACATGCATCGCCGTGCTGCCTAGTTTGGCAAACTGTAGCTTAATGATGTAACTGTATACTATATGCTGAATTTTACAGTATTGTTGTTGTTTGGGTCACTTGGTTTGTGTTCAGTAATTATTTTCTACCGAAGAAAATTGCCTTTGTATAATACTTCTAAGTCCCTTCAAAACATTTGACATTTCAACATATCAAAGCTAGTTTGGAAACAATTGATTTAGGTTGAACTCATATAATGCAATCCCTTTGCATTTTGAAATTCTCTTTGCACACACGCACACACACACACACACACACACACACACACACACACACACACGTGTTTTAAGTTATTGCAGTTGACCTCTGCTCAGCTTGAAGTCAAGCTGAGCTACAGCATGCTAAGTATTACATAAAATCCCTAAACTTCATGTAATTATCATCAAAACAAGAATCATAATGGGCAATAAAACAAACAGGAGAGTCTGGGATATGCCAATCAAGACCTGTCTGAACACGCCAACACAGTTATAGAAGAGGTATGATAAGGCAAAATAACAACACATGTGTGGGTCTACCTTTCATTTCTATGGGCTTAAACTAATATATGTCTCAACTGCAAAGGTCACTCAGCAAACAGAGCTCTTGGGGTGCAGGCAGCAGAACTCCTTCTTTCCAGTCGACACCTACTCGCCATGTCATCCCTCCCTGCTCTCTGCAACATCTGCTGCATCTGTCTGGAGCATTTACTGCTGCAAAGTAGAGACTCAGGAAGGACGCAGATACCAAAAGAAAGAGGAAGTGAGACAAGGAGACAAGCCGGAGAAAAAGAAGAAAATGGAGTACAGGTTCCACGAGGAGGAAGAGGAGAAGAGGGCAGTAGAGGAGGGAGTTATGTGCAAAGGGAAAATCAAGGCGGAGGGAGTGAAGACGTAATGATGGATGGAACAAACAGAGCCCAGCTACCTCTCACACAAGCCCAGATACCCTCCACCCTCACCCAGGTCTACCTAACTGTTCTCGGTGCCTTTCTGAGCCATGACCTTGATACAACAGGAAACAGTGACGATTTGAATACCATGAGACTTCCACAGAGGTACAAAACATATAATTTCAATGAATTCATAAATGTTAAGTCAGAGCTTCTTCATAAACCATTTAATGCAAGGTATTTCGTATTTTAATGATAGACTTAGTTCTTACTCACACAGGCTCCGCCCTCTACTAGACTCTATGGGTGATACTCTCCTCCAGTCATGAGCATGTATTAGCCCACTGGGTTTATGGTCTCAGCTGCTAGTTTCAAGTCTTCTTCAATACAGCATGATGTTCCCATTTAGAGTCAATTTGACTATAAAGCAGGGTATGCTTTAGGGCGGGCTACCATGTGATTGACAGGTCGCTACCGCTACCAGAGCCGTATACAACATTTCTTTGCACTCCTCCGCAGTCCAAATATGTTCCGCAGTTCACAAACGAATGGGTGACGTCACGACTGAGTCCACTTCTTATATAGAGTCTATGATTTTATCAGAATGGATGGACAGGAAACGAAGACTGGATCATTTCTCCAGCTCTGCAGTCTCCCTCCTCCATTTATGGGCGTCAAGGAGGTGAATCTATCCTTTCAGAAGGAAATGTGTTATCTCTTAGCAGAGATCCACGATCAGTTACAGAAACAGGCTCCATTCACAACACACAGAAAGGGTTTTGCACCGCGTACTTCCTCGTTCCCAAGAAGTTAGGAGATTTCAGACCCATTTTGAATCTCCTCATTTCTAAACCAGTGCATTGCCCGCAAGATGTTCAGTATGTTAATCATCAAACGGTTTTGCCATCTTCAGCTTTGCCTTGGTACAGGGATACCTTTAACAGATGTGTTGACACGGTGCTTCAGCTGCTGTGCGGCCGAGGCAGGAGGGTCTTCCTTTATTTCAAAGACCTCACCTTCATGTCTAAGTCCAGAGAATGCTATGTTCCACACAGGCCAGTTTATCTTACAAAAGAGACGGACGGCCCTACTGCCGGCAGTCTGCAACTGCTGCAAGGTGTAATGGTGAAAGCACTGACTGTCATGATGATAACAAATTTCAGTGGGCGAATGCGTGCTTGTGATTGTTGGAGAGTATTACTCATAGTGTCCAGTAGAGGGCACCGCCTGTGCTGATAGAACTAGGGTTACAATATTGTAACCTTCATGAATTTTCCCGTTTTCACTTTTATGTGATCTTTGATCAGTACTAATGTAGCAAATATTTGTTATTTTTTTTCATGTTATCATTTGTTTTCTCTCTCTTTGTGCAGTATTCTGAGTCAGCATCGATCTGAGTTGTGCGAGCTGAGTCAGCTGGCCTGGAATGGCTTAGAGGACAGCAAGATCCTCTTCATGGAAGAAGACATTTCTCAGGATGTTTTGGAGTTTTCAATCAGGACAGGGCTCTTCTCACAGGTCAGACTTGGCTACATAGCTGGGGGTAGTCATATTCAGATTGTCCCATCATCAGCCTGTGACATTGCCATTACCCGGTTCGATAGCAGGGGGGACAATGAAAATGTAGTTTTTGAAAGCCTTAACGCCAACAAACATAGATTGAAGCAGAATATTTTGTTATAAAAACATGTTTTGGAAAACAGACAAACATTGTTTTGGAAATTATTACATCTATCATTTTCATAAAAAAACATTTTGATCTGAGACAATTACAGAGGAGGACTGAGCGCCGCTTTGCTCGCTATGTGTGTGTAGAGAAAGCGAGCCAAATATTGTATTATAACAACCCTCTCCTGGATGTCACCCTGGATGGAATATCTGCTCCTCTGTGTAGCACGAACAACCATATAGTTAGAGCCTCTGTGGGCATATACAAGTGATGCAACAGGAGCAGCGCATTAAAAGTTGTGGCTAAAAATGTAAAAACGTGTTCTAGGTTTGAGTTCTGTCGTCACAATGCTACATTAATAACCACAGCAACAGCTACATTTCTAAACTGGTATTATTTTTTTGCCTTGCTTGCAGAATGGGTCAAGGAATGGTAACCCTGATATTCATTGTTTCCAGAGAATGAGTTGACATAACTTTGGTGTAGCTGAAAACGTTTGGTCTTGTTAGTGACATAATAAATATTATGTTTGTGCATATCGTCAGGTGGAGCTCAGACGTGAGGATGGGATACCTGTCAACTCCTACTGCTTCACTCATCTGACCTTACAGGAGTTTTTGGCTGCACTCAGAATCATGACAAGTTCTGATGTTAGTGACACGCAGCTCAAGAAGAGGTAGGGAACTGAGTTCAGTGAAGCCAAATGGAACGGTGCTTGGTCCTGTACATGGAATCGATAATAATTACAATTAACTACAACTGGTGTTTTATTTAGTTTGTGCCTGTTGACAGAATCAGCAAATTACCAAATAAGCAATTCACTGAAAAATGGATCCGTAGCATGTACCATTCTCTTTATTTTGTTAATATCAACACCAAGCTTTGCACTTCTTCCTTTGAATGAAACGTCATCTGTTTACACCAGTCCACCCACCATCAGGTCAGGAAAATTCCAACTTGTTTATGCTGTGTGTGCACTGTCACCAAAATAGAACCGTACCTAAGGTTGATAAATCAAGTTTTAGGTTTATATATGTACTGTATATACACACACACACACACACACACACACACAAAACTCACCTTAATCAATTATCTGGATAACGACACGAGGTGCAGAGTAGTATAGAAATTTACCATATCATGTAACACTACCAGACACGTATCAGGAATAACCCAACCAGGGAACAATATTGACAGTGTAAATTGAGCACAATGTGACCTTTCTCCCTAAAAGGAGGCCAGGAATTCACTGATACATGGTCCAATGACAGTAGTGGAGACTCGGGGGGCCAGCAGAGGTGGGGGTCACTGACAGCAGATGTCAAACAACACCTAATAAAAGCCTGAACTGTTAACGGCCACATTATAAATACAATTAATGGTGTGTTTCTTTCTGCAGATTATTGTCAGATAGAGAGAGTGTGTTGCTACTACTTCACCAGTCAATTGAATGACAAATCGGCAGGACTAACCGACTAGCTTGAAGTCTATACTGCATTTAATCAGCACTTTTAAACACACAACCTGAATTGTTTTTTTTAACTGCAAAAGTGTGTTGTTTTTACCAATGATTGTTACTAAAACCCTATTTATAGCCATGTAAACACACATTTTAAGTTGCTTATAACCAGTTATTTCTTTGCAAGCTCTTTGTGATACCAGAGAACACAAAATCCACATTAGGAGCAACTGTCAGAACTGTCCTCTATAGCTGCACATGCTGACTTTGCTCTATCTTTTTCCCCACTGCTCTCTCAGATTCAGCCTGAGAACTCGCTGGACGACCAAGTCAGACCAGAGGAAAGTCTTTACTGACTCCCTGCATCTGTTTGTATGTGGTCTGGCCTCCCCATACTGCACTCCAGCCTTAGTTCAATTAGCCAGGACCCCTGGTGGAACAGGAGGCCAAAATTGGGTCCAAAAAAGACAAACCCTTGTTCTGAAACTGCTAAAAAACCTTTGTCACAGCAACACCCTGACTGGACCAAAGGTAAATTCTGACAAATGTATAATTTAACTTTTAAACCCTGCTATTTCCTTACTGACCCTTCCTTCTCACATATCTTCCCAGATATTGGAGCTTTGCCACTGTGTTCAGGAGAGCCAGGACCACCAACTAGCTAAGCAGGTTGTGGGTAGGAGACCCACCTTGGAGCTGCGCAACATCCGGCTACTACCTAATGATATTGATGCTCTGGCATTTGTAGTTAACTCAGCAGGTGATGATGGCATTGGATTGGACTTTGGAGCATGCTCAATGGAGACTGAGTGTTTAGATGTCCTGCCCAAGTGTCAGTACATTCACTACCTCAGGTAAGTCCACACAAATACTCACACAAGCAAAACATACATGGCATCAGCACACGCCTACACACACACACACACGCACACACACACACGAAAAATCTGAAATATTTAAATTTAAAATAGCTTCAGAGGCTAAATTTGCTCTAAAATCATATTATATGGACCCTTGGGCGATTTTCCCATTAATAGATGTCACTAGTTATGTAAAATGTTAACAGTCAAAATGTTAACACCTAGCATTTGGGCATGCAAGGCTAGGAACTATTTTCATGACCAAAGGCATAGTGCACTTGAGCAGTTTGTAACTGCCCTTGTAACATTATGTAAATAAACACTGAGGCGAAGGGTGTTGAGCTTTTGAGACTCTGTAAACCTATGTTTGGCTTCCGGACGTTTAGAGAGCAGTTGAACAGCAGTGGTGAGTGTGGCTTTGCCGTCAGCATTCCTCAGCTGATTGGCCACCTGTCCCACATAGTGTGAATCTAACTGAAGCTCTTTATTTCCTGCTGTGTTCCCATGGTTGGCTAAGTCTCTTTCCATTGAGTTTTTTTTTTATGTGTCAATACATTCATTATTAAAACATTTGCTCATTCCTGTGCCCCATCCCTTCACCACAGCACACAAACATATTCAGCAACCTCTCAACTTAAACCATAACCATAAATACCAACATTCCATCATAGCTTCTAGTACATATACAGAAATGTATTTTTCTACAGAGATAACTACAGCTCTATTTTTTTATCTTCTTCGTCTAATTTCATGGGTTGCCCTTTGATATTGTACATTAGTTATTCTGGGGTGCAATATGACAGTAGTTCTCTACACATTGTTTTATTGAAGGTGAGAGCTTAGTTTTCCAGTTAATTAATATAAATGTGTTGCTGCTGTCAACATTAATAGTATAAACTCTTTGAGCATTTGTACATCTTCCAATATAGATATTTGGGGTTCCTGTGTAATTACTGAATGTTCTGTAGTGTTTTTAACATTACCTTCTCTTCATCAATATAGTTCAAAATTAAATTCAAGTGTGTGCACTACCAAAACGTGTAAATGAGATCCCCATAATCTCATATTACATGAGTCTATGTTTGGTATTAACCAGACATTTTTTAAACTTTTGTCACAGATTTTCCCATTCTTGCACTGATATCCATATCTAATGTATTCTTCCCATTTATGTTTATGCTGTGCAGAGTTGTGGTTCATTTTGTTGTTCATAGCATTACATAATGTTGATCTGAATCCCATTTGGTGAACACATTTTACATCTTTTAAGGGAGTCTTTTGCTTCTCAGTTCCCAATACAACATGAAGCTTTGGTTGATAAATGTTTAATTTCACTGTTTGTGTACCTTCAGTTTTCGTGGCCGCAAGTATGACGACAAGTTCGCTGAGAAGTTGTCCTCCATTTTGCCAAAATTCACAACCCTGAGGAAACTAGAGTAAGTTGATTTTTCTACGTGTCTTCTTCCTACTCTATTCTCTCTTTAATTCGTACAAATGCTTATCAAGAGTGGTGTAGGTTGTTTACCTTCTCCAGACTATACACACATGAATGTAATTGCCTTTGAAATACTATAAGGGATGTAGTGGAAATCAGCACTTAACACTTTCACAACTTTTTAATCTTAGATTTTTAAAATGTTTTGGTCTTTGTCCTCTTAAGGTTTTGTGGTGCCAGTCTGACTGCCACAGGAGCGGCTAGTTTGGCCTCTGCTCTACCGAGCTGTCCACACGTCACTGAAATCAAGTATATTTGCTTCAACATAATTTCCCTGCTACATCAAATAACATGTCTTCTGACAGTTCTATTGAGGCAATGTGTGAACAGATTATTGTATGTCTGACTAGATTGGGTTGTACCTCCTTATACTTAATGTAATGGGGAAATAGTTTGGGTGCAGGTCTAAACTTTAACACCATTCTCTTGTTTTTACATTGCAGCCTGAGTGACAACAATCTGAAAGACGGAGGGATCAAACACATAGCGGATATTTTTACCAAACAACCACGACTGGTTTTGGTGAAGTAAGTACTTACTGCCAATGAGATGCTTTTTTTCAATAACTCCAATATCTCAAGATTTTCACAGATTTGTAGCCGATTCCTTGTGTCTGCGCACCTTGCAGGTTTGGTCGAAACAACGCCTCTCTGGAAGCAGTGGATTATCTCATCTGGAAAATGTCTTCGTTCTTGAACATCCAGCAGGTTCATGCAGAGTATGAACACACCCATGCGCACACGCACACATATACAGTTCACAATTTCACATTCTCTCAGTCACATGCAACCTTGAGTATTACAAACTTACTCTATAGACCTCGAAGCGACTAAGTGAAAGAACATCAACAAGTAAGCAAGAATTCATTGTTATACAGCTGTTTGTGTGTGTTTGGTTTTTGCAGTGGGATGAAGGAATTGTCAGTCACTTTCTCTCAAAACTCTGATTTGAACAGGTGAGGTTAATGTTAGATAAACATAATGAGTAAATACAAACCAGTAATTAACCATACAGTGTGTCATCAAACTGCAAATAGTGAAATTCTGCCTTATGTATGCTTTCCCCTCTGCAGCCAGAAAACGAAGTCTCAACCAACAATCTGGTAAGACAATAGACAATAACACCCTTGTCATAAAAACACTTTCCAGATCTTTACTAGCACAGGCAGTTTCCTTGAAGAACTTTGCTCCTCCTTTGAACAAGGTGCCTTGACTTATTACCTTGACTTATTATTAGCATTGTTTTTTTACAGTCTTGGCCAGAAACAACCTCTGAATCAATGACAGATCAGTCAGTTTAATTCATATGCTGAATTTGTTTGTTCGTTTGTTGTTGATATGTTTTAATCTTGTGCTACAATTTGTTCTCCAGCTTGTTGAACCAGAAATGGAGCAAGCCTAACATGCAAAAACTTGCAAAGTCATTGGCATGTTGCTCCGCCTTGTCTGTCCTGGAGTGAGTAGCCCTAAATACACCTCTTAAAATTCAGGATGCTACTTACCAATGATGCAACATACCAAAACAGAATAATGCAGTACTGTAATTACAATCAGCCATTAAATGTTGGTATCGAAGTTTTTTTAGTTTTTTAATTTTTTATTTGAGCCATCACTTCCTATTTTTCCATCAGAGCAGGGTTCACCACAACTGACATTTTGGATGTTATCATGGGACAGTCCGCACTCATTTGGCACTGCGTGTGTGTTTACTTCCTAGTATTTCTGGAGGCCACTTGGATGTTGAAACTCTGAGGATTCTGACTCAGTCTTTGCCGAAGTTCAACGTCACCAAACAGATCATGTAAGACTAGACTCATACTAAACTACCCATGACAAAGCACAAGAGTGACATAAAAGCTACATGTAATCTGCATGACTGATATTTACTAATTTTGCTGTAAAAAATTCCATATTGTCATACTATATTTCACCTAGCTATCCAAAAAGTAGCATGAATACACTACTGCTACTACTACTTAATAAACTACTTAATATGTTGTGGTTAAGGATAGGCAAGTATTAAAAAAACAGTGCTCAGCATCCATAAAAACAGAACAGCAGCAGTTTGTTGACGTTCAGATGCCTTTTCCTGTCAGTGCGAATGACAGCTGCTTAACAGTGGAGGGTTTGGTGATTCTGACCGCTCTGCTGTCTGATTGTCCTGCTGTGGTGGAGCTTCATATCAGGTACGGACAATATAAATACACACATCTTTAAACATACTGTACTAACAAATGCATAATTATGGTTACTCACAGTCATGCCAATTTCCTGCATCACTGTGTAAAACTTTCAGCAACATTTAACATTGTATTGTTAGCCTCAATTTTATATTAGTTGAATTCTTAAATAATGGTGTTATAACTGCCATGTGACTGTATTTTTTTTATGTTTCAGACTACAGAGTCCTGTTCAGGTGTCCATAGTGTTTTCTGGAGGGAGAGAAAAAACGAATGAAGTATCTAAACTGCTCTGGTATGTGTTAAATACGGGTCGCCTCGGTATCCAAGTGCTTACAGCGCCATATACCTGCAATTCTCTGGTTCAATTCCGACCTTCGGAATTTGTTGCATTTTTGGGCTTGGAGTTAATATAGAAGAAAAATCGTTTTTATTTGTTCAGAGGAGAGCGATGTTCTTACCTTGCTGGATTTTTTTTGTGATGTCACGAGAATCCAGGAATCACACATCACACAAAAATCCATCTCGTCAGGCTTCATGTAATGCATTTGTGTCCGGTAAGCCAGAGCATGGAACAATCAGCGAACTGCGAGGAGCTACAGGCAGCTTCGGGCTTGGCTTAGGTGTGTTTATGAGACGACACAGACAGGCGACGAGACAACAGTGGCACCTCCTGAAGAGGTTAGCCGAGATGCTACAATAGCATCAGTTATATCAGAAAGGGAAATATTTCCTTATTAAATGAAGAGCAAGGAACAACACCGAAGGCTTTTTACGACGGATAAGATGTTTTCAGTTCCAGTTTCTAATGACGGCTCCTTAGAGAATTCTGTGTAACAAACCATCTGACGGGTTCAGGTTAGCCTTGTTCAGGTTTGTTCGTAATACAACTATAGTTAAGAGAGATGGCAGTGATAGTTCATGTTAGAGATCCCTTTCAGACATGTAAACGTCCGTAAATGATGATGATATTAATCCGGACACTGTTGCCTCTGTCAGCCTCAGCTGCTGTGGTCTGCTGCCGACTCATCTGGAGAGAGTGTGGAGGAGTTTGGGAACCTCCCCTGATCTCACTTTGCTGGAGTAAGATACACAAAAAATAATCCACTTGTCATTTTTCCTTGCATGCTAAAGCAGGATCACTGTTGACATTCAGAATACATTTAGTACTAGTAGTAGTAGTAGTAGTAGTAGATATAGTGGTAATAGTGATATGGTATAGTAGTGATAATCTGTATGCACACTGTTGAAACAAAAAAACTAAAAACGTATGCATCTCTAGTTTATAGTTATTAATGACAGTGGAATGTTTAACCTAGCCACTGTACCTTTCTAGCAATCATCATGTGTCTCCATGGTAAATTCAGGTGTGGCCATGAATCATTATGCATTGTTATTTTTATGATATTTTGCACTGTTTGTATTTTCTGCACAGAGGTTACCTAAAAGGAGAGTTCAGATTTTTTGAAGTGAGGTTGTTTGAGGTACTCATTCATAGTCAGTGTATAACCTTCAGTAGATGGCAGTCGGCAGGCCCACAGTTTGGAGAAACAGACACGAGTACCAGCACAGGAGCAAAGCAATGCTTTGCTGTGGACGGGGGCATCAGCAAAATGTATTTTAGCCACCTAAAAGAAAGGCCAACCTAAACAAACGTATAAAAGTTTAACTGTACACTACGTATAGAATATTTTCAAAGCTTTAACTAGCCATTAGACAGCCCTTTCAGATGGAGAACCGAAGCAGTTTTCCATCCTCTCTTCAAAGCCACAAGACTAAAATAGTAATTTTACCTTGCGTAGTTGCTGGCCTACCGCTGGCTCGGTCGGTTAGTTAGTTAGTTTTATTGTGTGACTTTAGCGTTTTAAAGGGTTAGGTTGAATTCACCAAAGCCACACAATAACACAAACTAACTAACCGAAAAAAATTACTGTTTTTGTCAAAGGAGTCCAGCAACTTTGAAGAGACTGCCTGACAGCAAGGTAAAGCGTCACACTTTTCTAAATATAGTTTACACTTAAACTGATTTTTTTGAGGTGGGCAATTTTCTTTAGGTGACTAAGATACGTTTTGCTGCTGCCCCCATCCACAGCAGTACATTGCTTTGCTTCCATGCTGGTACTCCCGTCTATTTCTTAACACTGGGGGGGTGCCAACATTTATCAACTGTTGGTAATACCCTTACTCTGGAAAAGTACCTCATACAACCTCACTTCAAAACATCCAAACTATCCATTTGCTTGTTTCTTTTATTTTGGCAGCTACGCATGTTGTACCCTTTCTTGTCTCTGACATTATTTCAATCCCACATTGTCGTCTCAGTCTGTCCAGTAACTGTTTAGGCAACAAAGGTCTGAGGAAACTGTTGGACTTCCTGCCCCGTCTTAGTTGCATCCAGGAAATAAAGTAAGAGTTTCACTAAAAGTGATAACAAAAGGTACATACAAAAAAAATTTAAAGCATTAGAAGTTTTCTGGGGATCTTTAGAGCAATCATCCAATATCATTTTGCAAGATATGCATTTGATAAGAATGAGTGGCTTTTATTGAGATTTACATTTTTTTATTTTATTGGGTTTTAAATGAAAGATGAGACTGTTGGTTGGTAATTTGGCAAACGCGGAACTGTTATTTTGTCACCAAACAGGTTCCAAACTAAATATGTCAGCACTGGCAGCTGCTGTGTTTACCTCAGGGCATTATTCAGTATAAATGGCTTATTTGGAGTGAAATGATGTCCTTCCCCCTGGCTCATTGTTTTTGTTATGTGCTTTACAGTGCCAGCAACAATGGGATTGGCATGGAAGGGGTAGTGATGCTGGCTGGTGCTTTGTGCTCCCATAACAACTTAACACAAATCCACATCAGGTATTCTTTGTTGTACATTTGAGACATTTAATGTTTTTTTTTACAGCAGCAACAGAGTGAGCACCTATTTCACCAACATGGCGAGTTGCCAGTTAGACAAATGCTATTTAACAGATCATTTATGTCTGTTTATAAAATAGAAGAATAGACAGTATATCATAGTAATTTGCATGGTAATGAATTGCTTGAAGGTAAAATGGGGTTATTTACTATAAACTTGTGTTCAAATGTGCAGTTTGTGAATCTGATAGTGTCCAATTGTTTTAATAGGGATGGAGACAGAGAGCAGGTGATCCTGAAGTTCTGCCCTGACAAAAGGTAAAAAATCCGAAATCCTCCACACATCTGGATACCGCTGTCTGCTTTTTCATGAGTCAGCAAATCAACTAATTATATGCCCTTTTTTTTAGGGATGACAAACAGCAGAAAAAGATGTTCAGGTACAGTAAGCTGATGAAGAGTTTGAGGAAAAACACACATTTGACTTTCTTAAAATACAAACAGTGATAACTTTATGTATTTTGACAAGTGATAACTATAAAATGAGAAAAATTTAAATCTTCTTCTTTAATGCTGTAGGATAAACAACAGCAGCCTCCTACCATCCAATGTAACCACACTATGTCAACGATTGGGCCAGTGTCGCTCCCATTTGGAGTTAGAGTGAGTTGGATTAATGTATATCCACACGTTGTTATTTCATGATTATGAACAGGTAGACATTGATATACTCTGATTTTGTGGCAGTTTGTCTCACAGCTCATTGACGGACAAGGCTATCGAGAATCTGCTGAAGGTCCTGCCCAAGATGACGTCACTACAGAGACTCAAGTAAGATGTACACACATGCATGAAGTAATTAGTGTGGATGGTTTTGTTCAGACAGAAAAAAGACTGTTGCAACGATTACAAAACCAAGCACTGTGTCACTTCACCAGTGTGCAATGGTACAACGGCATAACATAATGTAGTGTTTTAACAGCATGAAGTGTTAATAACACCACGGTGTGAATAGAAAAACACCTTTAGGCCTGTAATGAACCACAAGTGGTGTCCTAGTTTGAACTCACCCACCACTCTGCTGTTGCCTTCTGGGTGTCAATGCTGAGGCTTTTGAAAAGGGCTTTATTCTAATAAGTCTACTGACAACTTCACCACACAGTTGATTCTTTTAAAGCCGTCATGTTTCTAATTATATGGGGTCATAGGAGTGCCCTAAAAATGACCAAATCTATAAAAGAATGGGAAAATGACTGTGGAAATAAATAGAGGACTAGATAAAATACCCGAGTAAATAAAAAATGTGGAAAATGTGGAAAGAACGAAATATAAAAGATTAATTTCAGGCACTTTCATCGTTTTCCACATTTAGATATTCTTTCATTTATTTCTTTATATTTAAAAATATTTTATTTAATTGTTTATTTTCTTATTTATTCTTCTTTATATTACTACTTTTGTTTACTTATTCTGTTACAGATGTTTTCTTTTTTTTATGGCACTACTTATTATTACTCTAGTTAATTTAAAACCATGACCTTTAAAGATTGAACCCAGCATTTATCTCTTGTATTATTATCAATTACCACCTTCACATTTCATTTGAATCAACTCTATCCTGTTTTTCTTTAGTGTCAGCCACAGCATCACATCCACCACTGGAGCACTGATGTTGGTCAGATGTTTGACTGTCAGTCAGCGAGTCACCTCAGTGGAGCTCAGGTACGATTTGTATGAGCTTTTTTTTGATATCCAGTGTAATGTTTTTGTAAAATATTGCTTCAACCTCTTCTTCAGGCCTCAGACTGAATCCTTCATCCAGTTTGACAGTGTGAAAGCAGAACAAGCCAGCTGCAGGTCTGTGATAAGCAATTGACTTGTGCACTGTGTGCTGATATAAAAACTTAGTGGGTGTTTGCTTTTCACATTGCTCAGTTAATCACTTGTCCAAGCATTCATTGTACATACAGGATATACAATCTTCTTTGCAGCAATTCTACAATTTCTCAAACTGTAAATAGGAGAGAACATTTTCATTCTTTTTATTTTCATTTTATTCCCTCATATTTTGTGTTTGAGAGAAAAATGCACTGCCAGCTTTACATTTTGCTGTCTAAACTGCTAAACTGAAACAACTTTTTAAAGCAACACACATAATGTCAACCACTGAGACTCACCAAAAAAGAAGAAATTGCCAGAAGATTGATTGATTATCTTGTTATGAAATGTTGGTTTGAAGGACATTGACTTCCTGTCTTTATGTCCTAATGTAGCGCCTGTATGTCTCACTGACTCTGTGTGCACACAGGTTAACTCATTGTAGCCTGAAAGGAGAGAACTTGGAGAGACTGCTCGAGATCCTACAGCAGGGTCCTCAACTGTCTAGCCTGGAGTACGTGCCATACACAAACCCAGTCTTACTCACACATTAGCTAACAGACATCTACTTTCCATAAATACCGGCACCAGTGCTTGCTTACACTCTATTGGTGTGGATGCTGAATTATTCTTTATTTTGACTGCAGTTTATCAAGTAACCAACTGGAAGATGAAGGAGTGAAGCATTTTGTGGATTGTCTACAAAAGCTTAAAATCACCACCTATGTAAAGTAAGATACGTTATGTAAAATATTGATTTTGACCATTTTCAGTTCTATATTCATTTGTGTTTAACAAATCAAACATGGTGACCTACTTTTTTACTGAAGGGATTGTTAGAAATAGAAAAGACGGGAAATTCAGTAATCCCTGTTTCATACATTTAGACATGCAGCTAGATCTGTGGTGTAGAATGCTACAAAATAATACGAAGAAAATAATTAATTTAATAGATGAAAGCCTGATCGACATGTCTTTTTAGCCAGACTGTTGGCAGATAGGTAAATAGAATATGCGGATTATTAACTAATATCTTTATGTTTTTAAGCTTTCTATTTCTCCAATAATTGTGATTGTATTTATATTATATTTTTGATGTATACAATAATGTTTACTGTTCCATATTGAATCTTCATATATTCATTTGTATTGTTACTGTCTTATATCTATTGTTACTTTGATCGCAGAGTTCATTGTAGTAATAGTAACATTATACATATGATAGTAAATGGGATAAATCTAGAATAACACTTTTCTGGTCTTTAATGCGTCCTCGTGCACAGTTTGAGCAACAATGGCCTGACGCAGCAGGGGCTGTTGGATGTGACCAACACACTGTGTACCTGTGACAACGTCTCTGGTGTAGAAGTCAGGTAGGACTGTGCATTGTAGAAATTTAGGGCTACAATTAAAAAGAAAGCAATTAAATGAATTGTGGAAAGCACAAACAACTGTAATATTGAACAACGTATTCTTCCCTGTCTTTCTCTTTGTCCATGAACTCAAATTTCTGCCGGTAGTTTGGGAGCAGAGGAGAGGTGCCTTATCTGGTTTACACAATATGAAGGTTGTGTAAAAACGCTGAGGTAGGATAAGAATCCATAATTACAACAGCACAAGTAACTAGCGAGTCATTGTGCAGATGCTTTCCATTTGATTGATGAAGTGGGGTTGAATGAGGTACTTATCCGTAGTCAGTGTATTACCTACAGTGGATAGCGCTGGGCATACTCCTGTTTGGGGAGTCCTTCGAAAATAACTAAATTTACCTGCAAAGTAAAATGACTGTGTTGTCAAAGTAGTCTTGTGGCTTTAAAGAGAGCAAAAGATGGATATAACGGCTTAATTTCCCCATTTGAAAGGTCTGTCTGACACCAAGGTAAAACAATACACATCGGGACGTGCAAACAGCCATTTACTGTAGGTAACTGTGGATGAGACCTCATACAACCTCACTTTATAAAATCCAAACTATCCCTTTAACCTCATTTGTTGCACGGCATGTGATATGTTCTATACCCCATTCAACACAACTCATTGCTATAACGTAAAATTTATAAACAGATTTGTCAGGGAAATCTCCACACAGTTTGAACCTTAATAATAATATTTCAACACGAGATACGTCTGAAGTATCAGGTTTCTTTCTTTCTTTGTCATCTGAAAAGGTCGATTAATGGTTTCAGAGCACATCACGTTCTTCCGTTAGGCAGTATACACCTTTGAAAAGTCTCCATGTGTTGTTTGATTCTTTGTTCTCTCCCCTCTGATCTTTTCTGCCTCTCTACCAGTGTCACAGATAGTGGTTTGGAACGGGACCATCTGGTCAGATTAGCAGAGATTGTGTCTGTCAGTCCCAGTCCAATCAAACTAGAGTAAGTACACCTCCATCTTCAGACCACTTTATACTGCAGCTCCCAACACATGAAAAGCTGCTCTACAACTTCAGCTTTTAAGGAACAGACATTTAGATACAAATGTAATTGTTTAAATCAAAAATTCTTTGTCTTGAAAAAGAATTACCGGACTTGTTAAGTGTTGTTGATGACTGAGAAAGTGTTGAATTTTTTTATTATTATTGACATTTTTTTATATCAATAGAAATGATCAGTAGGGCATCCACTGATTTGTGTGTCTCAGGTTGTCCAGTTTATTGTATTACTCTGAGGTTTGTCCATAGGTTGAAGAACAATTTGCTGCAGTCGGTTCAGATTGAAGACTTTGTGAAACTGTTAAACAGCAGTCAGAGAGGATTCAGCATCCGGTAAGAAGGAGTACAGTATATGGGAATATTTTTTATGTAGCTTTGTTTCTTCCACTTCAACACTAGCAAGTTATTAACCTGAGAGCAAGTTGCGATTGTATGCCCTCTCTAATCTTTTCAGCTTTGCTTTTTCTCAGCATACAATCCATAAAGTGTTTCTGACTAAATAGTTGAATGAACTGGTGTAATTGTTAAAATACTGAGCTGTATCACACTTGTTTCTTTCTTGCCAGTATTGAGGAACGTTGGATCAGATCTGAGGAAGCTGTTAGTTTGTTGTGCCGCTGTCTGGATCTCAGCAGCAACATACACACTATCGGGTTAGATATGCAAATGCATACGAGTAAACACACACGTTGGGGAAACTGTACACTCTATGTAGTAAAACACATATTCAAACATTTAAACTCACTTTAGAATGCCCACATCACCATATGTCTGTTTGCATGTTTAACTAACAGTACTATATGCATTTACTTTGCAGGGTTCACCACACCACGCTGCATCTGTCTTTGATGAAGTCCACTGAACTGACCTCAGTCAGGTGATATATTTAGATTGCATATTTAAATAAAGTACCCTCCCACTGTCTTATTTATGTCTGGGGGGGGGGGGGTCTTTGATCTGATTGATCTATATTCAACTTGCTTTTGTGTTTTTAGTGATGACTCTGCAGATTAGGGTACTTTTTTCCTTTACTTGCTCTATACTAAAGATCGGATAGCAAAGCTAATACCTAGCAGCGATGCAGAACTCCATCACAGCCCCACTGTTCTACTGGCATAATATCAACTTCATGGTAGCATGCTTTTAGAAAATATAAATAATGTAATGCAATGACCCTTCCATCTCTCGAAAACAAATCAAGCTTTGCCCGGTAAATACATCCTTCCTCTGACATGAACGTAGTGTTCGTAAATTGTGGTCTAACGAAACAAAATGTTTGCATAAATTGCACCTTAAGAATTATTATTCATTTTGACAGAAAACAAGATATTCCCAAATGTTTTGGGGAATATGAGAGAGCCAAACTTACTGTCCCAGTAGCTGATAACAGCAGGAGAAAAAATGCTACCACATAACTTTCTGGCATTTGTACAGGTCCTGGAGGAAGTAAACTCTCTCCTCTCCTCTCCTCTCCTCTCCTCTCCTCTCCTCCAGCCTCATTGACTGTGCAGTAGAGGGGTCTCACCTTGCATCTATGAAGAGCATCATCCTGAGGTGTCCTTTACTGACAGAGCTGGAGTTAGTATTCTCTATTTTCTGTATGAATATAATATGCACAAGGCAGTTGCAAGGGAGACATATTTGTAAAAAAACAAAAAAACAAAAGAGGAAGTAAATAAATCATGTTTGCTCTCATTATTCACAGTTTTTCCCACAACAGCCTGGGCATAGAGGGAGCTGAGTTTCTCTGTTCTGTCCTGCCCTCGCTGCCAAATCTCACTTCTCTCAGGTGAGAGCTTTTTCTCACATTGGACACCGTTATAAATGTCTGTTTTAAAGTTTTAGCATGCCACTTGACTACTTTTGTCATCTGTAGTATTAGGTCCAAAGAGGCTTCTGTGACATTGGTTGAGAAGCTGTCAGAGGCCTTGCTGCAGGCTACAGCCATTCAGTGCTTAAAGTGAGCTACACACACACATTTTATGACCTTTCATTTCGTTTAAATACAATCAAAAATCTCGCACTGCTTGACATGTTTATGAATTGAAATGAAATCTTCATTCCTCCATCTCCCAGTCTGTCAGGTCATGTGATTAGTGACACAGCAGCCCAGATTATGACCAGAATGTTGCCTCGCCTAAAATCACTCAAGTAAGCATTTAACATTCAGCATAATGATATTTCTGAAGAAGTGAACAGTACATGAACGGATCGATCGGCACCATGTAAAATCTATAAAGTGCTTATACAGTGCTCATTGGTTTGTTTGAAACATGTTCAACCATCTCATTAAGTATATAAACATTAGTATTACTGTTGGGCTTGTCTTCTCTAGTCTGTCTCACTGTGAGTGGTCAGCGTCTGGAGGGCTGCAGCTCATCACAGTACTGAGAGAGTGTGTCAGTCTGGAGGGCCTTTGGTAAGAGACACGCACGGGCATATGAATGAATGAATGAACGTGTGTACAAACATGTCTGAATATAGAGTGGCTTCAATAATGTCTTGAAGTTCTTAGTAGGTCTGTTATTAATGTGTGCATTTGTGTGTTTGTTTCTAAGTCTGGACTGCTTGCAGCTGAACGATGAGAGCAAGATGTGCCTGGCACAAGCACTAAGGAAAATCAACTCTATACGCAGTCTCAAGTAAGAAACACCATCTGGTCTACTGCAGCTTTCTCATTAGAATCTCTGACCTTTCTGTGTGATTATGAAGGATAATAGAGGGTAATGCTGCCTGTTTATATACTCATTAAGTAGTTATCTAATATATGGAGCTAAGCCTGCCAAGCTATTTCAGACAGATGCTTTTACATTTACTACTACGGTTACACCGATGCACTTTACTGACACATATCCAGAGCCTCTCTAATAATCGGGTCTATTTATGATTTGCTGCTCCCACTTAACTGCCAAAGCTCACTCTCACTGCTCACATTACAGCCCCTGTTACTGCCAGCATGGCATACCGGCTTGTCATCGGCTTCACATGAACTTCACATAAATCTGTGTGCGGGGAGGGGGGGGGGGGGCTCTGATACCACAATCCTCCCTTCCCAGGGGGGAAATTTAACATTCCCTGTTCCCTGTGCTAATTTGTAAACTGCTGCTCCGGGATGAGCTGCAAGGTCACAACATAGACTGCAGATTGATGTCAGTGCTGTTTATACTTAATATAAATACATATCAGATTTACATGGGTAAACATCCTCCTCACGTGAGCGATATAACCTACTAGTTTGGAACCAATTCAACAATTCCACTGAGCATTTGATTGCTTGTTTGAGCAGTAAATTCCAGCCTTTGTTTATGCATATTGTGTGTGTGTGTGTGTGTGTGTGTGTGTGTGTGTGTGTGTGTGTGT